GTTGCGTTTGGGATAGAAGGGACAGATCGTCTGCGAAGTCTAGATCATCCAACTGCATCTTAGATGTCCATTGTATCCCGTGCTTCCCCTCAGGTGTTGACGTCTTCATGATCCAGTCGATCACCAGGAGAAAGAGAAAGGGTGAGAGTAAGCAACCTTGCCTAACACCGGTCTTCACTTCGAACGACTTTGTGAACTGTCCTCCATGCACAATTTTGCAGTTTAATCCATCATATGAGTTCTGTATGATATTGACTATCTTCTGAGGCACGCCGTAGTATCGAAGAAGTTTCTACAGTGTTGTTCTGTCCACGCTATCAAATACCTTTTCGTAGTCAATGAAGTTGATGTAGAGTGATGAATTCCATTCAGTTGATTGTTCCACAATGATCCGTAGAGTTGCGATTTGGTCTGTACACGATCTATCCTTACGGAATCCTGACTGTTGGTCACGAAGTTGGGCGTCTACGCAGTCCTTCATCCTGTTTAACAATACCCTGTTGAAGACTTTTCCTGGTATTGAGAGAAGAGTGATGCTCCTGTAGTTATCATATTTGCTGAGATGGTTTTTTTGTTATTTTGGTCAGGAGTCCTTCTTTCCAATCTGTTGGTACTTGTTCCTCGTCCCAAATCTTATTGAAGAGAATGTGGAGTATCCTTGCAGTTGCCGCTATGTCTGTTTTTAGTGCCTCTGTTGGGATGTTGTCTTGTCCTGCTGCTTTGCCACTCTTGATTTGCCTGATGGCCATGCTGATTTCTTCAATTGTTGGTGGGCCAACATCGATTGGGAGGTCCGTGGGTGCTGCTTCGATGCTGGGTGGGTTCAGTGGAGTTGGTCGATTCAAGAGTTCTTTGAAGTGTTCTACCCACCTGTTTTGTTGCTCTTCAATGTTGGTGATTACCTCGCCTTCCTTGCTTTTCACTGGTCGATCTGGTTTACGGTGATTTCCAGAGTGTTTCTTTGTTATGTCATAACAGTTCTCTCATTTTTCCTACCCCTGCAGCCTTTTTCGCCGCCATTGCTAGATCTTCCAGTTCTGGTGCTCCTCTTCACTTGCTCTTTTACTCCTGTGTATTCAACTTGTGCCTTGGCTTTTTCTGCTCTTGTTCGGCCGTTATTGATTCCTGCCTTCTTGTTCCTCCTTTCTTGAATCTTATCCAGTGTATCAACAGTGATCCATTCCTTGTGATTGTGCTTCTTATGGCCCAAAACCTCATAACATTAAAGTTATTGCTTCCTTGATCCCTTTTGAGTCGTTCACTATGGCAGTTCCCCCTCTTTTGAGTAGAAAGGCCTGGGACCTTTTTCCGGAGGTTATGTTAAATTTGTTGAGTTCGTCAGTATCCCGAAGAAATCCTGTATAAAACTTTTATGATATTGTCCGCCCCGTTTTCCAGTTCTTCTTGAGTTTCAACTTCATCTTGGCGACCAGCAAGTGATGATCTGATGCTATATCAGATCCTCTGTTCGTTCTCACGTCCTCTATAGTCCTCCTGAACGTTTTGTTGATGCAAATATGGTCGATTTGGTTTTGTGTATAGTGATCCGGTGAAGTCCATGTGGTTTTGTGTATGCGTTTATGTGGGAATATGGTGCCGCCTATGACCAGCTTATTGAAGGCACGTAGATTTGCAAATCTCTCACCATTCTCGTTTCATTCTCCCAGTCCGTGTCGTCCCATGATGTCTTCATATCCAGTGTTGTCCATTCCAACCCTGGCGTTGAAATCTCCCATCAGAATGGTCAGGTCCTTTGTTAGGCACTTCTCAACGATTGACTGCAGCCTATTGTAGAATTGATCTTTAACATCTTCATCGTAGTTTTAGGTATGCGCATAGCATTGGATGACGTTCAGTGTAATGCCCTCTTTCTTTGTCTTGAAGGAGACTTTTGATGATCCTTGGTCTATGAGATTCCCATCCTATAAGTGTACTTTGTGCTTGTTTCGATAGCAACAATCGAACTTCTCGAGTATGTGGGGCATTTCCTTCTTCATGGCCGGAGTACAACAGCAGCTCTGTTGAGGCCGGTCGTTGTTGTCCAACCTGTGTCCAGTGTGTTTCACTGATTTCGAGCACCTCCAGGTTGTATCTCTCCGTTTCTGCAGCAATTTGGAAGACCATCTCGATCTCCAATATTGTACGAGCATTCTATTTGCCTAAATAAATGGATGCTCTGGTTGTCAGAAAAAGTATCAGCCTCGTGACTTCCGAAGGAACTCGGCTTTCACCATGGAGCCTCATAACACTTCACAATGAAGACCTTCTAAATCCCAGGGCCGAGTTTAAATGGTTTAAACTATTTTTTATGGTTAGCGTTTATTAGCGGGTTCGTTTTCCACAGGATGGTCTGGGTGTACCGCTTCGATGCCGTTCATAATTGTTGGACGGGGCGCTTCATTTTTCAGACACTTGTAAATAACTCAGTCAGCTTGTCAACGAGATGACTGCTACCATCTCTTAAGAGATCCAGGTTTTATCTTTTGTGCACGGTGATTTAGGACGCTTCAAATGTTTTTGTTCCTTGTGGAACTCCGTCTCGTTTGGTGGATCAGTCGTCACAGTTTGATTGATGTGCCCGAGGGATAGAGAATAGCTGAACTGTTACTATATCAGTCGATGTTTCTGATAGACACCACATAAGATTCACAGAATGTTCCACTCATACCAGGTTTCTTGCTGCCAGCTACTCAAATGAATTGAAGGAGTTCCCAGTAGCTACCAGATGCAGCAGCTTTTTTCTTCTCGTTGCTTGTGCAAAGTTTATACAGTACTGTTATATAACAATCTTTATTTATGGTCAAAATTAATGTTTGGCGGAGTAGTCTGACTTGTTTGAATGAGTTATTAGGAGCCTATAAAAACCCAGTGCTTATAATCGGGATGTTTTGCGAAGCCGCAAGAAACTTTAACCAAAGTTTCTGTGAAGTTGCGCATTTGCAGTCAATACTCATCGATACTTTTCGATGGGCTGAACACGTAATGTAAGATTAGTGCAGACGAGAGCATGATCAGTCCATAAAAGTACTCCTAAAGAAACGGCACATTTGTTATCAGCCACGCCAGCAGTAGGTGATGATGTGGTGCAGAGGTAGGATGTCAGGTAACACATCGACGATAATTGTGCCAAAAGTTAGTGCTAAACAGAAACAGGTTATAGTCTGCACAAAGTTGAAGATGGTCAAAATTATCTGAACTGAAATTAATAGGTCCTAATCGGCCACCTAAATCACTCATTTCACAGACGCCTGTCTGCAGAATATTTGACGGGTAATAAGAATAAGCTTTGACCACACGCGGAATGAAATCGATCGAAGCGTAGGGCGATGACGAATAGAGATCGTGTCTCACACTTATTTCACCTCACTGAGGCGTTTTCTAATTTAACAACATATAACTCACTATACACGACGATCCAATGGACCAGTGTTGCTTCAACTATAGTGCTTAGCGCAACAGTAACGCCAGCAAAATGAGACGATGCCAGAGGGTCCATGGGCAAGCGCACGTGAAACGAGCTCTTTGAAGTTACAACTGGGGACCAACGTTAGGACTTTATAAAAAATATAGCCAACCCTATCTGTTGTTTGATTTGCGTTAGTGTGAGGACGTTGAGTGAAGTCAGTTCGAAAACCATACGTGGTCTCAGAAAGGCTAGTTAAGTATTCATCTTTGGTAAAAGCATTGAACTTTCGACTATTCAGTTATTTGGAATCGTTTAGATAGTAAAGAGTCCCCAACATAGATGAGCTGCCGTAGAACGTGAACAACAAAAACACATACGAAATGGGATAGAGGAATAGACAAGGGACGCGTGGAAAGATGTACTGAAGTGCTTACCATTTCGTTCATGTGTGCTAGGACACTGGCAATTGACTGACAACGGGCTCACACGCCACTTGTCCTCTCAAAACACAGGGGCCCATGTACACCATTGGATCAGTCCTATCAACCGACCGCCTTTCGTCCTCACAGTTTCATGAAAACTCCAGCCACGAGGTCATTGAGTAGGACCTTACTGACAGTGGCTGTATACACATGGCAATGAGAGAGAGCAAACTCTCCTCACCCTTTGCAGCACCAGGATAGTTTGAGGTTATCGAACTATAACTATGAGGAGATATGCTTAGTAGATTCAAATGGCAAATAATTGAATCGTTATTAGGTAGCGCGTCCACCTAACTATTTTGAAGTTAAAATGACGAAATATTTAGCAAGGCACTTACGTATTGACCAGCTAAATTACACACTTGATAATAGAGGTCTTTCAAAGCAATCCAACTCGTCCTATCAGTAAGTGAACGATGACAATGTCAGATACAGGGTGTCCGGGAGAGATGGAAAGTCGATTGATAAGGTCGTGAGTCGTTATCTGTGATTAGAACGTTTCAAAACCAGTCATTCTCATATACCTAGTTTGTCCTACTGCTACCGATACGTCTATAATGGGATTTGTCTTGAAGTAATCCCAACACATTGTGCAAATGCGGCTTATGACTAACTTACTAAAATCTCATCACATTGTCTAAACACAACGTTACCGAACAGGAAGTAAATATTCATGAAGGTAAATGGATATGTTGCAGACTGCCATGTAGTGGAGAAACAAAAATACTTCCTAAAACAGAATTACACCTGCTTGGATTCAACTCTGTATGTTACACAGTCGATAATTTGACTAACATATTTAGGAGAAAAACAGATTCTATTGTACTCAAACCTAAACTCATGACGTTTACATTTGGTAAGTAACGATGGAAACACACAAACATAATGAAAGACATACCAACTTCGATCAAGTGTTCTTTTCGATCCTAAGAATGTATTTGTTATAATATTGAATGAACAAATGAAGAGGAAATTGTCCATAAAAACCAACAACTCTGGCGTCCTTAGGACATGTGGTGATACTATCAATATTGTGAGGTTACACCATTGTCTCTCAACATGCAAAATAGTCAATGAATACGAAAGCAACTAAAAACAGAAATCAATACATTGCGATTATATAGATACATACATTTCATTTTATGTGAGAAATGAATCAACATTAGTTTAGTGCACAAATAGATCATTGTTACATTAAAATGAAGGGGAGGAAATGTAGATAGTATTTTAAAGAAGAAGAGCATTTAATTGGTTGAAATGTAATGTTAGACTTGACAACCAAATCACAAAATGATGATGGTATATGCATTTTGAATTGTGTAACGCTTATACTTTTAAAAATGATAATATGTAAAGAGAGAAAGCATGAAGAGCTACTTTTTATTTGGTATAGGTGTACGTAAAAAAAAATAGGGAGAATAAGAATAGTGAGAACAGAAAAAAATACAGAGAACAAGGACTGATGATACATAATCAGACCATATCTGCACACGCTTTCCATGTTTTACAGACATACAGATACCAGCAACCATGTGTTCAACATGGTGCAACAGCATAAAACACAACAGGAGTATGTTTAAGACGAAAGATCTTCTCAATGCTTGTGTTGATATGCTTATAACCGCATACAAACTGTAAAAAGAACATAGTTCATAATCCTATTTATCGTATCACAGTAAATCTTTAATTGACAAAAATATCTAATCCAAACTCTAACCAACAAAATATGTTGCTGACTAGGATCACTTTCATCAAGGTCGGGGAGTTTGTAAACAGACAGACGAATACATACATATAATGCGAAACATTATAACATGATTGATTCAACAATTACAATCCATATTATTTATGTTATTGACTTGTATTGATTTGTTATCAGTAAAGTGAGTTAGAAACTATAATTTATGATTTCGTTGTAAATTAGTGCTTAGTTCTTCTTCTTGTCTTAGATCACGGCGCCATAATGTCACTTTATCTGTGAAAATAGAAAAAAAATTTTCTGACGAGGTAATCGAGAAAGGATGATAATGAAAAGCAGAGATGAAATACTCTCTCATCAAATGAAAACTTTAATGTAAATTAGAAAATGATTAAGGATTTCCAGGCACTTTATTGTTTGTTTGTTTGTTTTCTCTCTCTTGTAAAACAATGTCATCAAACATGTTTGATACTTTAATCTCACATATAACCAGTTGTATAATAAAGATACATTATTGAATAATAAATTCACTTGATACTGTTTTACTCGAATCTGCCTATTGATGTTTACGATTGAAATTGATCAATCTCTTATTATTGGTATATGCTCATGTACACTTCGTTTTATTTAAGACTCGTCAGCTGGATGTACCTGGCATCCCAGGATTGATGTTCAATTTGGGACTAGAATAAATTACCGTTCGCTTCAAACGCCATCGCGTTATCCACTTGCTCGTATAATGGCGTGAAGTTGATGATTAACACTGAAACTAATCAGTCTCTTATTGGCATATGTGCATATTGCTTTAATTCAAAAGTATTTGACGTCTGAAGCGAACAGTACTGGGTTCAAGCCCCGAATCGAATATAAACTCTGAGATACAGGCACATCCAGCTGACGAGTCCCAAATAGGACGAAGCGGCGCGCGTCATGTATTCCACTGCTATTCACTACCCATTTTTGGTTATAATTATTGAATAATAGTTATCATATTCCAACTACAGTTATACTTTATATGTATAGAGGCCTATTTGTATTACTGACTGATTTCGTACATTGTAAATATGTACAATTGTTAGAATAAAATCTACATTAATTCACTGAGTGAAAAAAATTGTATGTCATAACGATTGAAAGCCTTTGCTTCACTTGTAGAACTAGTCAGTGGTAGAATTATCAAATGTGAACAAAGTTGATAAGATGTTTAATTTCCTCTTCAGATAAACAACATAACACAGTTTGAATTTCCTCCATTTGTTGATATCATAGACTGTATTCAATCAGCCTTTATTGTAAAACAATAAGTTATTTAGGTAGTAACTTATACGACAAACCGATTTCCGATGAGTAAATGTCGTTATATTTTTTTGAACTGGGTTGTGTAGATGTGGTGCTGAAGAGTGACTAATGAACAGATAGACAGATCTAGTTGACTACTTAATTAATGATCTTCTTTCCTCATATTGACTTCGACTCTGAACTAACTCACTGAGTGTAAACTGCTTGTAATTGTACTGAGTAAAATATTGTCTCATTTATACTCTGATTCTCTATATTTGGTCTTAATTCGCGCATTCTGTAGAACGATAGCCCAATCTGTTCACAACCTATCAATCGGAGTATCCAGTTCAGGGGTAGTAGAATCCGTTATATCTCGATAAGAATAATGAATGGTAACTTTTGAGATCCATTTATGGACTAATACTGTACATATATATATTTATCATATAATTGATAAATAACTCAACTATTCATAATCGTGTTCCTCTTATCATAAGCTTTATTTTGACCCATAGACTATCATTATATGATTTGCCATTGTTAAGCTATACCCAGTCTATCAGTTACTGTCTCCCATATTTACAACCACATTTGACTAAATCTTGTACAAATGTTATTTTCTATTTGGCGGTACGATGTGGTCTGTTTGGTTGGTATATAAATCCAGTATGTTTGAAATAAATGATTCATATCACAGAGGCTGAGATTGGTGTTCTTGACTTAACAAGTAGGGCCAGGCTGAAAGCAGGACCGATAAGGACTGTAGACTGCCAGTACAGGTTTTATGCGTCATTGGTTCAATCGATAATTCACTGCTCTCTAATTGGCGGTATCATTACGTTATACATTGATAGGGGTACAAACCCACAATTTATAACACAATCTTAAGTTCACAAGTTCTACTATTGAAGTAAACAGAATTTATCTTCATTCAACCGTTATATCAGATGCATTAATTAACGCCAACTTCAAACTTACGCGCATAGTTCATTTCTACTTATTATCAAAGATAATATTTATGTTTATGCAACAATGACAGTGCTATCAGTCAGTCAGATACAACGTAGGACCAGGCACATATATGCATCAGTCCAAGTTGCCATACCTCATTAGCATAACAAGACGAACATCGGATTCATAGAAGTAGTTAATTCAATAGTGGTAATATATAAAAGAAAGATTGCATATAAGGATATAGTACAGGAAGAAAGATATAAAGCGATTTCAATCCCATGTGATCGATTCTGAGCCATGTCACCCAAAGTCTCCAACCATTGGTTACGATAGTCACGTGGACCCCCCAACCAAGTAGTCTGCATCTACCAACATGGCTCAGACCGGAAGTTAGTGACTTCATTGACTGATGCCACGTTTTGGTTTGGCCACCCCTAACTTTCTTCCAACCATCTCCAACACTAGTGAGCATTGCGTGTCGTGATAATCAGTGTTCAGACATACGTAAAAGTGCTATAGTATCACTAATAGAAATAATGATAATAATAAATTGACTATTAAAAAAAATTATCAATATTATTAACTTACCTTTTAAAGAGGATAAAATTTTAATTTGTTTGCTAAGTAGATATTCTAAACGAGCACTATATTCTGTTACAGGAAAAGAATAAACAATAAAGAGAGTGAGAATAACAACTGATTTTACAATATAACACAAATTAATTTTCATGGTAACACAACAACCAATAAAAAAATGATCAACTTGGACCGATGCACATATGTGCCTAGTCCTATGTTGTAGCTAACTGACTGACAATAGTAAAGCATAGAAACGAATAATATAATAGTCTGTTCATAACGGTACAATGAATAGAACATGAATCAGTAAGAAAATGGTTAGTTTATATGATCTATCCACTAGTAAGCAAACAAACATTGGTGAAATATAAACATATAACTAATTAATGGTTCAACAAGGGTGATAACAAATTCATGTAATCACGGGGAGCAATGAATGGTAAAACAAAAAACAAAAAATCTTGGACATGAGAAAATTTGGAAAAGGTTGATAATGGCATCATTAAAGTATCAAGACGGTGGTTAAGATTTGTGGCTAGTGTGGGTGATTTTTGTTCAAAAGAACAATGAATGCCACTTAAAAGAGTGCTAAACTACGCTGATATTATAACAATGTGCCTGTACATCGGACATTGATTATTTACGAACTTGTGATTCGATAATAAGATTACCGATCTTACTGATTAGACTTAAACTCTTGAAACATTTTTCTGATTGCAAATCACAAAACGATTATGCGAAAGCTGAAGTGGGATGATATAGGAAATATTAAAGTCGAAACAACAAAATAGCTGAAAGGCAAGGGTTTTGAGGACTTCGACGGATATTTCAAATAACGGAAAGGAAGATCGAATAAGTATATTTTCACAAACACGCAGTACTTTTTGAACACTAATGTCTCCTAAATCTTGTGAAATTAAATTCAGATCATGACAGCTAACGTATTTATGGAACCGATTCACAGTTGACAAAGAGTAATGCGAACATGAAAACCGAGTAATAAACGACGACCACAAAAAACAAAGAAGCAATAAATAGTCGTTTCGTTCTAGCCCAAGAAATCGGAATTTACGGTCGTGCAGTAATCCAGATTTATAGAAGTTAGAAATGTAAATCACTGGCTGGCGACTCAGTGATGAAGTGAGGTGCCCACTGCGAGAAGCCTGAGTTCAATAGCTAGTTGAGTTGTGGTGTATTCTACTTATATCGAAAAACATAAGTAGTATGTAACAAAAATCGGAAGTGGAAAACCTAGCAGCAGAGAATTGAGATGATCGAATCGAAGAGAACGAGAACAGAGATTAATTGTTATGTCACCAAAGGAACGATGAAGTTTAAGACAATTGATGGATGATTCACGAAAGAAGTATTGAACGTATGATTTCCACATTTTGTATAAAAATACAAGGGGTTATCCCTGCCTGTGTTCTTGTTCACAACAAAGTCACCGAATGCACATCGCTGATGGACAAAAAAAAGCCATCTAATGCTTTCTGATTTTCAACAATTGTCTAAGTTCTATGAAGTACGTTATAGAAAATAACAATCTCCACAAATCTCCTGTACTAAAAATCAATATAATTGGAATATATAGATTTAAAAATTTACACATAAAACTAACCTTCAACATCGAATTCCACTTGATTTGATATTTTGTATAAAGAATAATGTTCTTTAGTCCAATCGCTCATAGACTATAAAAATAAAATAATGAAATAATCAGATATAAAATTATTCGAAAATTAGAAAAGCTTAGACAGGTATTTAAATGTATAAAACATGGTTCACTATTGAACATTAAACTAAGAAGATAATAAGATTAATCACGTTATATCAGATTCAGGATTTACAACCCAGAATAGAAAAGTAGATTAATATTAGATAATAATATATTCAATACAATTACAAATAGTCACACTCAGTGAGTCCAGTGTAGAGATATTCAATGAAAGGAAGAGAGATCACATATTTAATAATTTTTAAACTGTGGCTATTTCTCCACGCTCAACCACTACTACACATCAGTAGTTTAAGCATTCGGCTTTTCAACAATCATTGGTAGATTGAATTCAGCAGCGAAGTATCCTTAACACACCACTTACACATATAAAATATGACTCAGAACAGAGTACATAAATAAGTCTCACATGATATCGAAATCCATGACACCACAGAAAATAACACAGAGAAAGCGTAGTTATTAAAGGGTGAATTGATAATGTGAAATAATTCAAGCAACAAATGAACCAATTATCGTTGTCTTATGGCCGCTGAGACCCAAATCAACATGGCCAGTCGCTAATCAGAATCCGTTCCGCACATCCTATTTCCTTGATAGCCCAAGTGTCCATGAATTGCACAAATACACACCCAACCAGCAGAATCGACGAGCTGGCAACTAAGTTTCTCATAGGTCAGCAATTCTCTAGTACCTCTCTACAACCGACCTTAAGTTCAGAAGTACCATCCAGCCTCTACTATACTTATATTTCAAACAGGCGTGACTTATATACAAACATACCAGATCACATTACATCATATAATGAAAAATAAAAATACAAAATTGGCTATGAATAGGCGAGATTGTAAATAATAGGCTGGCAACAAATTAAGAATAGTAAATCGTACAACAGTAGTTAATAAATCAACAGAAAGCCTGTGATAAATGGAATACATGTACACAATAATAAAGTCACTTATTGATTATACAACAAAATTACGATTAATAATAATTCGAAAAAACCAGTTCCAATTTCTAAACTATTACTTTCATCATACCAGTTATAATTTGCTTTTGATTTACTACCCATTGAAATATTATAAATATATATTATAACATAGGTACATTTTGTGCATTCAATGTGCACTAGACTTTCTAAATAACAGTCACAGCAATGTATAGGGAATTAAAAACTGCAATTAGGAAAACATGATTACTTCAAGTGTATTTTGCAAGACATTGTAATATCTCAAATTTTAACTTTGTAATCTATGGGCTACTACCCTATGAGATTTGTTGTGTTACAGGTTATAGTTCGTAGATATATGAATAACTTGGTCTGAAGTGCCACTTTGTGAGTATACAAAAAGATTACATTATGAAAACTCTGAGTTTGTAAAACAATACAATTGACCACTACCTTAAGATTGCTAACGTAAATTTCGAAAAATTACTTGTATACAATATTTAATCTAGATGTAGACATGTTCAAGGCAATTTTAGACTCTGGCAAGGTTTATCATTGAAAAGTGTACTGAAATACATAAACCTTGCGAAGGCCCTTCAATCGGAAACTATTGACTGATTTAAAGCTTATGGTGAATTGTTACTGGCATTGTTAATCTCAAATAGTGTTCGACAGGGTCATCAACTGCCCTCTATTTTATTGAACTTTGCCGTAGATGGCGTCCGAGAAATTACACTTTCTTCAGGAACTGATCTTTTCAGATTTAATTGTCGTTTTGGGATATCGATTCGACATAGTTCTCTGTGCCGAAGATTCCGAGGAAATGCAGTTAGTCTGTTCATTATCTTGATCAACAATCCAAGAATATTTGAGACTGCTCTATATCAAAGCTTAAACAAATAACGAGTGAATCGGTTGAGTGCACCGAACTCTTATCTTGAAATTCTCATCAGTCTTGGTGAGTTTGGTAGCAGACGAAATTTAAGGACGATTCAGAAAGTTTAGGTGCCTAACCACCATTTGACAACCATAAACAGGAAGAGAGGGAGACGTTTTTAATGGACGACCAAAACATCCAGCTCAGAGAACAAAAATCCATCAAAATCATCCACCTGAGCTACAAATCTTCTCCACCATCTCAGGAAGAAGTTTAAAATGTAATATAATTTGGAATAAACCATTGACTGTGTGTGATGATAAGAATTCGATTTCATGGAAGATAAAGCTCAATATATGAAGTAAAATACCTCAGACTTAATCCAAATGCATCGTCGCACGATATTTCCCTTCAATTGTTAGCTAATTCATTCCTCTACGGTGATTCGACACGGCGTATAACGCATAGATGTTAAACAGTTGGAAATGGTGTTCCTTGTAGAATTCCAACTCACCCCACTCCTTCTTGACTACTGATACGCCTTACTGACTATTGCAAGGTGACAGGAAACCAGATTACACAAAGTTTCATGTCGATTCCTTAAAACCATTTATATTTATATATCCCTATAAAACCTTTTTTTACACAAAAGTTAAAATTTATAATCAACGGAGGCAAAGCAAGATTGCTTACATGACAAACAGCTTTGTGATCATCGCAAATTTCTTCTTCCATGCGTTCAATCTGATCGATAACTTCATGAAAATGAAGAACTTCCTCAGGTACTTCACCTTCCTATTGAAAAAGAGCAAAACGAAGTATAAACAACACCTACAAAGGTAGATTTGCAATTTACTAAGATTACTAGTAAATAATCAGTATCATGAAATGTGCACTAATTCAATTAGATTATATTAAAGTTGGTAAACAATGAGTAGCACATGATATGGAGTCAATTGATTACTTTATCTTCGCATAACAAGGAAAAGATAATTTCATGAAGCTAATTATAGTAGTAATGATAGCTGCCTCACATTCAATGTCACATGCTTGGTTGTAGTAAACAATTCTCAGTATAAAATATATGCAATGCTTAACCTATTCAGTTTAATATCCATTCAACTATAACATTTAAAAGGTGTGTGTGTAAAAAGATATTACCAACAGTTCTGTTCAAATGATATCCTTTTTTATTCAATAATTTATATGAAGCATGGACGTTTATTCATTATTTATTTATTTAAATACAAACATTGGTACAAGAAGGCACTAAATGGACATGCACCACGTAATTTATTCGATTTGTGTAAGGGCTAGGATATTGCCTGGGTACCCAAACAGAAGCAGGTGGTTTAATTAGGGGGCCACACACAGAGCCTTTGACCAAGTCTAATCCAAAAAGTAGTGGAGCAACGTAAAGAGATGTAGTCCCATGGTAGTCGGTGACAAACCATTGGTTCATACGCCATTTGTTCCTTCAGCATACTGCAACCCATGTGCACCATTGGTTTGGAATCAGGGTTTTCCAACTCCCCTAGGTGGACTCTTGGTGTCTACCAACTCGGTTAAATCGCCGGATATTCGCTTTCCATTCTCTCAATTTCGTAAACAACAGTAAAGCTGCGAGAAGGCAGTGAGTAGGACTTCCCTGATACTGATTGTATGCACGTGGTCATATGAGAGCATTTCGAGAGGAAGAGTTGACTCTCCCCACTCTCGGCCGTGCCAGGACATTCGGAGGCAAGCATGAACTTCGTCACAAACGAATAAATGAATCAGAATTATTTTTAAAAAAAACATGACAGAACCTCTTCACTGACGATTCTAGAAGATTAAGAGAAGTAGTAATTAGAAAAGGATCTTTGAATAATACCAAGCAAAAGAATAGGTTTTGTTAAGGTGTGTTTCTTTTTCAACAATGTTAAGTGGGAAAATTACGGGATATATACAATTTAAAATTAACAAACAAATATAACATAAAGGCGAATTTCAAACAAAAACTTACATTAGCTGATCGAAGCATAGCTAAATCACCGTCACCGCCAGCAATTGAATTAACATGATTATTTGTTAATGTATCATTCTGCCAGTTGTTATTACTAAAATCATTATTATTGGATGAAGGGTAATAATTTTTCGACAAGATATTCCCGCTTGTTCCTATAAATTTTTTGGTGGAGAGAAAAAGATAACATATTACTAAGTTGACAAACTCACCTATATTAGTACTTGGAGGATTCCGAAAGTTGATTTGAGGAGGCACCGTGCCTCCAGCAACAGTACAATTTGAACTACGAGATGATAACTGTGGTTGATTAGTATTACCAGTTGCCGGTAGATCAGTATTACTGTTACCTATAAGAATATTTTAGTCAAATAAAAAAAGATGTAATATACCGAATAAGAAATGTAATAATTCCTTGTGAACTATAAACTTTGAGGTATATACATGCATAAGAACACATAACTCGACTCAAGGAAGCTTTTTAGGCATCAAAATTCTGGGAATGAATAGTTGAGCTCGACCAACTAGATATTGTAATCATTGAAATAAGATTTCAAGCCTGAACACTTACAGGATGATACATGATACACTGAAAGCACGAGTGATTACTTACAAAGAATAAGAGTAGATAGAAGAACTATCTACATGTCAATTAGTAAGTTAACAGTAACAGAAATTCTCTAAAAGTGGTCACTTGCTTAATGGTTAAATCAAGTCAACTTCCGACCAATACGTGTTAAATTTGAATAACACCTATTGCGATGCGCCTAGCTCAGTTCAAGCCAGCGGACAATTAGTGTTGCTCAAACTCCAGACATAGTGTCTGTTTCAAAACTATACAAACGAAACTGGTATTCGGCAAGTGAGCTATAATTCAATAATGTTAAATAACTTGTAATGAAGAGGACTTTTAAACAAAACAAAAAACGTACTTGCCGACAAAGTTCCTGGTCCAAGTTCTTTCACCCTAAAAATAAAATAACAAAATGCAAGGAAGTTTTTAAAAATAACTAAATGGATATATATATACATATATATATTCGATAATTTGAAATCAACAGTTCACTTGAGAAAATCATATCCATCGTAATAATGACAGTATTGCATTGCAAAACATATCACAAAAACAATAAATAAGCAACGAATATTGTAACTAAGATACACCATTAATACAGTGAGATAAGATTGCTTCAAGTCACATACCAGAGTAGTAGACAAAGTAACAGTATCAGTAGTAGAAAAATATTGATAGAAAAATAAAAAGTGTATAGCGAGATTCCGGAACTCAGATTCTGTAGGAAAGCTAGGAATAAATGTACTTATGGTACTGCAAACGAATCTCATACATTACACTGAAAGTCACTAGTGATTAGTTAGGAAAATCACACAGACCCTGACTAGGCTAATCAACACCTGCTTACATGGTTCAGTCAAATGGTCAACCACTCCTTGGTCAGTCAGTATCAACGTAGAACTTCGTACGTACGTACATCAGTTCGAGTTGCCACACCACATTTGAACAGAGATGCAGTGGTCGATTCAAATCCCGAAATGCTAGATGTAGTAAAATTATAAGCTGTAATCAGAAAAATTAGGGTTTGAAGATGTTATTCAAGGAGTTTAATCCAGTGAAATAAATTTGGAAAGAGAAAAAAGAAAGAGACCTGAAGAATTCAGAAGATTAAAATTTGGGAGAACACAAATAGTGGATGCACCTGCGCCATTACAAACGATTTTGAGCCATGTCATTCAGGGTCTCTAACCATCGGTTACTATCGTCTCGCGAATCCCAACCAGGTAGTCTGCACCTACCAACATGACTCAGTCCACTTGTCAGTGACTTCATTGATTTGTGCCACGTTTTGGTCTGGCCGCCCCTAGCTTTCTTCCAATCTACTCCTATACAACAAAACATCGCACATCAAGGCAGTCGGTGGTTAGGCATACGTAACACATGTCCCAGCCATCTCAACTGATGAAGTTTCACGACTTCATCAATTGATTTGCCATCCTTACCTAGTAACCGTTTGCTAACAACTGCATTACTTACTCGATGGACCCAGGATATACGAGCAATGTTTCGAAGACACCTATGATCAAATACTAGTAACCTACGAATATCCTCTACTCTTACCGGTCATGTTTCACTGCCATAAAGTAGTACGGAACGAACTGCTGAGCAGTAAACACGTCCTTTGGTTGATAGACGGATATCTCGCCTACACCATAAATGACACAAGTTGGCGAAAGCTAGTCGAGCCTATTGTACCCGTGCTGAGATTTCGTCACACACCAGACCACAAGGGCTCATGAGACTTCTAAGACATGTGAAGCGGTCGACACGCTCAACTACTTCACTCCCTATCATTGGCTCGTGTGTCAATGCAACCCAATTCTGCAGTAACATTTTGCATTTCGAGAGAGAATTGCATCCCGAACATGCTCGCATTGTTGCTTATAGTGATCCAGGTCGAAAACCAGCCTGATTTTCTCTAGTCTGCTCTTCACTAGCTTTAGTTAGGCGTCGAAGTATTATTGAAGCTGCAGGTATTGATAAGCAGCGTTTCAGAGAGAGCCAGTTGAATGTTTTGGGCAATTTACGCACGCGACTGCTAAATCTCCCATGTTTCGGAGATGTTAAAGAAATTGATGAATTAATTTCTCACTTGTATACTGAACTCGAAAATGACTGCAGGACGTATGAATATGAAAACAAAAGCCTCTATGAATCCCTGATGATCAGTAATGCAAACGAGGCAGTCGCTCATGATCCGTCCAGCGATCCAGAAATGTCCAATTCAGAAGCATGCCCTGTCGTGGGTTCAAATCCCACTGTGCCCGAAACATGTACAGACAGTGATGTACCCAGCTCACAAGAAGAACCCATCGTGCCAGAAAATGTGTCCCATGCATCAAATAATGGTCAGGAATCTAATACAAATTTCAAAGATGCTGTTTATTTTAGTGACCTATTATCCACTGATGGAATTTTGAAGAGGTCTGATGAATATGTTTCACAAGAATCAAACCTTAATGACCTCATATCTAGTGTCGCTGATCCTCATCATCTAGTCAGTTCTAGTGGACCCTCTACCGAATGCGGGAAATATGCTTTAAATAGAATCAGGCCAACTGTTACTTGGGTATATGAGGACCCAACATTATTTTGCGGGGGAGGACGGACGCAGAAAATTTAAAATCCGGATATCAACTCCGGATCTTCAAAAAAAGGGAGGTGTTAGGTATGCTGAGGAATATACCAATCATTATCATGTTAAGTCTAATGATGTCCTTGGACTCTAAATGGGCATTCCCTATTGGCCATTATTTATTTCACTCGTTAAATATTGTACAGATGTTGTTTTCTATTTTATGGTACGATGTGGTCTGTTTGGTTGGTATATAAATAGAGTATGTCTGGAATATAATGATTCATAACTCAGAGGCTGTGACTTGCGTTCTAGACTCAACTGGCTGGGCTAGACAGGGAAGCGGGACCAATCGGGACTCTAGGTCGTCCTTACGTGTTTTACGTGTCACAAAAGCGATCGATAAATACGCTGCGCATCTAACCTGCAGTCCACCCGTTACAACACAGTTTGACAAATAAAGTATCTAAAATATTAGCTTCAATAATACTTCGACGCCTAACTAAAGCTAGTGAAGAGCAGACTAGAGAAAATCAGGCTGGTTTTCGACCTGGACGTGGTTGTATAGATCAGATATTCACACTACGTTTCGCTAACAGTCGGTTTCCTAATACCAGTTTCCTTAACAAGTCTGAACAATTGTCTGCTATTTCCTATTGCCGCTGCTTTTTCCATCTCTCTTGCTTTCGCTACCCACCACTGTTCGCGATCATTGCGTAGACTTCTTGTCAGCTTGTGCTTAAGCTGGCTCCGCTTTTCATTATGTTCAGAGCCAGGTGGAATGAGTTTTCGAGCATCTATCAGTGTGGTAGATGCTGCTGAGATCCAGTGTTTCTCCCTAACTTTACGGTTTACCTTACTAGCAGATATCACTGCTGTTTCCATAGCTTTTCGAATATCATTCCATGCTGCCTCGGGGTTTGCATCACATACATGGCTGCCTAACTGTTTCTCTAGTTGTTCCTGAAATATACTCTTAGCTTGACTATCATTAAGTAGGCCCCTAAGAGGTTTCCTTGCAGCGTCTTTCCTACGTCCAGTAAGACGCAAGCAAATACGTGCTCGCACTAGAGCATGATCTGAATCTAGGCATGTGCTCCAGAATGAGCGACAGTCTTCTATCGAGCTCCTCCATCGGTGGCTGATAGCGATATGATCTATTTGGGTCCAACGTTGGGACGAATTAGGGGGTCGCCATGTTAAAAGATGTTTTTCCTTATTGTTAAAGTTAGTATTTGCAAGGAACAGACGGTTATCTGAGCATAGCTGCAACAGACGGTCGCCATTATCTGTTCTTTGAGCCACGACACCATAAGATCCACCCAGGTGTCTTTCCCTATCGCTTAGTTTACCTACTTGAGCATTAAAGTCACCGGCCATTATTACTACATCAGAGCGCCTAGCTTTTCGGAGAAGGTCGGAGAGCTTTCTGTAAAACTCATCTTTTACATCATCTGCGCTGCAGTCAGTGGGAGAATAGGCAGAAACGACGAAGAGGCAACGACGAGTGTCCCTATATTTTCGGATCCTTACTGTTCCATTCAGTCGGACAGCGCACAAACGACTGTCTACTGGGATCCACTATAAGAGAGCTAGTTCTGCCCCAGGACTCAATGCTATACCTGCGCCGGCGAGGCCACGGGAAGCAGAATCAGGGCTTCCAGATACACGAAGCGTAAGTCGAGTCGGTTCTTTATTTTGGCATGGTGAGGTCAAGTGAATGACGCTACTCGGATCCTGTATGCGCGTTTCGGAGACGCAGCACACATCGATGGCGCGAGATTCTAAAGTTTTAGCTAAGGAAGCCTGCTGTCCTATTTGGCACAGTGTTCGGACGTTAAAAGCTCCTAAGTGTAGTTTAAAGCGTGGTTTCAGGAGACCAGGAATAACGTTCCGCGTACTCGAATCGTTTGCCTTAGCGGTGCGAGGTGATAAAGAGACGTGAGGAGGGTTAGTCATGGCGATAAGAGAGGTATTAAGAGGTGTAGGAAGGATTTGAATGTGACCAACTTGGTCTCGTGTGCTGTTACGGGTATGAGGTCTGGTGTCACTTTCCAGCTGCCCACACCATGGAAGGGTATTTCTTGAGGAACCTGAAAAGGAAATTGGATTAGTGTTGGTCTTGACGACCTGGGAGCGTGACCGCAGAGCCCAAGGGACAACTGCTTGAGGCCGGTTGCACACGGCCTTTTCGTGGAAGGTTTTTAATGTGTTAGCTCCGTTCTTCAAAGGGCCTTACCGCCGGAGACGGAAATCCGTGAGGTGTGACAGTTTTAGGGTCGACCTTTTCTAACCCCACCCCCCTTGTGGGAAGGTAGCATCGCTACAGATGTTAGTTGTCTGAGGGAAACACGGTACTACTTTTACACCCCTCTACAGTCAGCAGTACGACTTCGCCCTCAGACCTTGAGTTGCTGCTTTTAGTCTTACCGTTCTCCAATCGACCTGCCTGGCATGGTAGAACCTACAAGAACATATGTTTCAGCCAATATAGCTCGGTTGGATCATTACGATAGGCAGGCCTGACCACCGCGTCAAGGTAGCAGCTTTGGTCGGGTCACTCCTTGGACTAGTGTCACAGCTTGGTTTGGCCAACCCTAGCTTTTTTCCAACCTACACCTACACTAGATAACACCGCTCGTTAAAGTAGACAGTCGTTGCGCTCATCCATACGAAGACTGCGTATCAATAACGAGACTCGTACAACATGTTAGACAGTAATTACTGATGTGTCCATTACGCTTTACAGAAGTCAAAACAGCCAATAAAAAAATTAATACGTTACCAACTAGTCTTCTGTTATAAATTCTGGTTGCACAATCAAGCGGCAGCAACAAACTCTAGGGAATTGGTAAATGTCTCTTGAAATATTTTGCCGATCCACTATTAACATCACTGGTACAAGTTGATATGCAATCTGTCCAATGAATAGGTCAAGTAAAGTTAACCAAACTAATTTTCGGTACATCAATCTTAATATCCATTTCAAAATACTCTGCTTGTAGCAGTATATTTGTCCCATCTCCGAATATGGAAGGTACACTGTTATTCTTTAAAATCACACAAATTAAGTTGGAACCAATTCATCAGGTGTTTAAGAACCTTTACTATTAGTCTTTCAGAAAGTCTATAACTAAGAAGCCTTAATAGTTTTGTTCATGCATTTTATGAGACAAATTATAATTTCATTATAATTGAAATTAAAATTAGAATGATAAAATACTTTGTTTTAAAAAAATAACCCATGATATTAAAACAACGTGGTGACAATTCTTTGACGACATTTAATCACATAAACATACGTACACACAGAACATGAGAAGAATCTTACCGATCAGCGTAACGTAGTGTATTTAATGTATGTTCACAGCTGGACATACCAGGTGATATCATAGCAATCATACACGTTCGAGAACGATCTCCAATAAATGAATCACGCAGTACTTGAGTTAATTTACTCGCACGAAAAGGTAGATGTGCACCACGCCGACCAAGAGCACGAATGCATTCCTACACACGGAAAAAAAGAAGAAAGATTTTCAGTAAAAACACTTTTCGTTGAAACAAAATGTTTCATAGGAATTTTCACTAAACATACAGATTAAAACAATTTGTAAAACCTGAAAAATCATTTCTGTTATACAGGCCCATTATTCAGCTGATCATTTAGAGGTTTATTGTTTGAGCTTGATAGTAATATGGACTTACTATTGAACATTTTAGTTAAATTTGAAATACTGACATCAAGCTTACAATTTCTCCTAATACTACCACGAACAATTGGAATACGTAAAACATAATACATAACATAAATACTGAAAGCAAGAAATCACGTGAAAATTTATTCAGGTGATCATGCATCAGGGATTAGTCAAGAAGATGAAGGAGGAGTGTTCAACCAAAGGTATTGATTAGTATTAGAAAGATACACTGATTAAGTTCCCTCAATAACAAAAAACAACTCTGTTAGCAATGAGGGAGTATTACTAGTACACTTATTAAACCAATCCTACATAATAAATATAAGAAAAGGCATAGAATAGAATTGATAAACATCTTTGTTTGCAACGAATGCAGTTAAGTGCCATTCGAATCAATCACTAAGAGTAGTGTACGTAAACTACTTAAGATAACACATGAAATATTTACGTGTTGGCATAAAGCAGTATGAATTGATACAAGTAGATCAACTGAATTGAGCAACTTTATCCATCAAGAAGAGACAATGAATAAAACAAATTCAATCATGTACAACCAAGAAAAAAAAACCCAGGGAGAATAATGGAATAATGAAGTTAAATAGTAGCACATTACATGAAAATATTTAGTTTGGTAGGGACTGTGTGAGAAAACCTTTTACACAATGTGTCGCAAAACATATTTTAAGTAATATAGATCAAAGGATAACACGGCCTGAAGATTATTCCCAGCCTTAAGTCCGGATAACAGAGGAGGGTTGTGTATGAGATTAGTTATCCTATCTCGTACGAAAGAACCTTGCTAAAAAAAGGTGTTAACCAGATAAATGTCATACTTTAGCATTTAAAGAACGCATTACTGATTACACAATGTGATGTTTTCTACTCAGTCCATAGTTTCTATTTAAAGTAGTGTCAAATATAGACACGATAATATTCATGTAAACAACTATTAATCATATCCGACTCAGTTATCTACACGTCATATTCGCACGCGACGAAAAGTCCTGGGTTATACTCTCTGATGTGGGGTCGTCAATCCCCACTGCTGAGGAGTCTCATAGTAGAACGGAAAGGTCACCTAGCGCTGTCAGGCTTTTTATTGTGATCTAACTAAGATCAGTTTGTGATTCTAAATTTACATCGTTAAGGAAATATTATGCTTATGTGAATAGCATGGGAAACATGTATGTCGATTGATACTTCGACAAAAAATGGTTATACATCCAAATATGTTTACTTACATTATATCAAATCAAATCAGTTAATTATTGAGACAAAGAACTAAGTCGGTTACCATAAACTTTGAAATACGAGTATTCTCGTGAATTGTCGACAAGTGCTAGATAACAACACTTACATGATAAATTGATGAACGCTCTACGAATATTCTTAAAATAATACTGATATCTTATACATCAAACACAAAATGTATGCTTAATTTACCTTTAAAGCTAAAAGACTTTTATTAATTTCAGCGCCTTCCATTCGAGTATGTCTATCAGAACTACTTGTATCCACACCACGTTCATTACCGGCCAAATCAATAAGTGAAAATTTACCATGAATTTTCCCCGTAGATTGTTTTTTTAAAATCAACTATATTTAGAGTAGTCAATAAACATTTTATTTAGACAATCATATGACAATTAGAAAAAGACAATAGTTATTCAACATTTTACAACAAAAAAGATCAGTCAGTTTGTCATAATTTTCCGGCTTTGTAAATCGAGCCCAGTATATTAAGGTGTTATTTTATATGTGTACACATTTGATTGAATAAATTGAGATTGATACAAAATATATTTTCTCAAACTTTTACATTATTGGAAGATTCTTAAGCTCATTGAGTCAGTCAGTCAATCAAACGCAAGATGGAACCTAGCATATATGGGCATTAGCACAATGAGATGAAGTTTTCAAGAGAAATCTTAAAGAAGTAATGACAGCACCAGTGGTAGAAACGATTAGGTATCGAAGAATAAATGATAAACAAGTTTTGAGACTCACGATGTAAAGTACAAAGAATGAATGTATCTACGCCACAAAAACAGAATCTCAGCTATATAATACAACATCTTTAACCATTCATTGTGGTTGTTGCATAGATTTAAACCAGGTAGTCTGCACCAACTTAAACGGCTCAGTCCATCAGTGCCACGTCTATGATCAAATACTAGCAACCTACAAATCTCTATTAACACCACTGAACCTACAGTTTATTGTTTCGATTATCATTATTAAGCTATTACAAACGATAATCACTTTGTTGCTCAGTCACAATCAAAGTGGACAGTACAAAAAGCTTGTATTATTGGAACATATATAAACTATACATCTGAATTGTATCGAGGTTAGTTGGCTATGAGATGAACTTAAAGCCTTATGTGGTGTTACAAAAATGTGTACCCAAATCTTGCTTACAGCAAGTTGATCTGAATCGGTAGCAACTGATATTTCAGAGTTCCACAGTTCTATAATAATAAAGCTTCTATTGACAGGCAATAGAAAATATGTACCAAGTATATATATATATATATATAACAAGAGAAGAGTAAAACTATAAAATCCTAATATGCTTTACTTGAAAGACAGCATGGGAACGACTAGAATGTTGATTAGCTGATGTTTGACCACTAGTTCGAATATGTGCACCATGTTGTAGAAGTTTTAAAACACAATCAACTGAATTCACTTCTTCTTCACGTAATCCAACTATTTGTACTTGACCTTTAGCATCTTCCAGAACTCGAAGTTTGGCTTTTTTATTTAACAAGTCAAAAACCTGTTCATAAAAGTTTGAATGAAAGTAAACAAAAAAAAACAATTATGTGATACGAACATTTTTTATATTCTAACGAAGAATAAATGAATGGTAACTGCTAGGTACTATTTATGGATTATTATTACATATATTCTTATTGGATAACTAATAAGTAACTAGATTATATATATTTATATTTCTCTTATTACAAGCCTTCATTTGGCCTATTGGATATTGCGGTACGATTTACCATTCTGAAGTTATTTCCAAGCTCTTAGTTACAGTCTCTTACACTTACAGCCACTTTTGGCTTGATTTCGTATAACTAACTGTTGGGTGGTCTACTTGTGTATAAACTACGTATGTCTAAAATCCATGATTCATGCAGCGGAGGTTGAGATTATGTCCTGGAATCAAACAGACAGAGCTAGGCAACAAGAACCAATAAGGACTTAGAGTTGACTGTAGGCTGTTCGTGCTGTTTAATGCGTCATTAATTTGACACAGGGCCAAAGCCGTATAAGTTGATGTTCTGATTGGTAATATCATCACATGATAGTTGACGGGCTATATGACATAACTACACTAGAAAATTGAAAATTCTCCCCTCCTCCATAGCCTAATAATTAAGACGAATTCTCTATGGATATTTCAATTCATGATCAAATTGCATACGAAGAAAAAAACCCTGATTTTATCTCCAAATCTCAATTTAATTGAAAACTTAACAACAACTAGTTAAAATGAGGTCATATCAAAACACCACGATTTATTGAGATCACAAATTAAACGATGATAAGCTAAAAGTTATCTTATTACAATTAGATAGGTGAGACTATAATTTATGGAAGACCTTTGAATGAATCTAAAGTAACTTTGAAGATATCCACCTAATAACTAGAACCAAATGAGGGTTATAAACCTGTGTGACGAATGAGAATTATGATTTACAGTTGATGGTTAGGATTAGGAATTACACTTAGGATTTTCATCACAAATCGACATCATCTATTATAATGTAAGAACCCTATTTAGTCAAATGGATAAATGAATTTCGCGCCAAAATCCGAAACCTGTTTGATTGGTTGATTCGTCCATAAATTATAGTCTTGCCATTAGATAGTAATTGTAAAACAGGTTTCAATTGATATAAAAATGAAACTTTATTTTAAATAATTCATCGAATCATTTTCTTACTTTGATAATTCAGATCAAATAATGACTTGATAAAATTTACCTATACAGGATACGATTGATAAATATGCAACATTTGTGGTATTATGGATCAAAAATTTCATGTTGAAATACAAATAGTGAATACTGTTAACTATATAAATATTTTCCAATGAGCTTCGTGGATTTATTTTTATTTATTTAAACACATAAACATTGGTACAAGGATATGCGCTAAATATATTATTCGATTTGTGTGAGGGCTGAGATACTGCCTGGCTGCCAAAACCGAAACAGATGGTCTAATTAGGGGACCAGGCACAGAGCTTTCGACCTGAAGGTCTGGTCCACAAGGTAGTGGAACAACGTAAAGAGATGCGGTCCCATGATAGCCGGTGACCGAGGATTGGTTTATACGCCATTTATTCCCTCAGCATACTGCAACCCATGTGCACCATTGGTTTGGAATCAAAGTTTTTCAACTCTCCTAGGTGGACTGTCCATGTTCACCAACTCGGTTAAATCGCCGGACATTCGCTTTTCGTTCTCTCACTTTCGTAAACAACAGTAATGCTGCGAGAAGGTAGTGAGTAGGACTTTCCTGGAAGTGGCTGTATACACGTGGTCATGTGAGAGCGTTTGAAGAAGGAGAGTTGACTCTCCCCACTCTCGGCCATACCATGGGGGGGCATGGATTATGTGTAATTAAATTTATGTGAATTGATGGATATTGCATTTTTACAATGAACCTATATATATATTGAGCAGTGAATACCTAAAAATTCCTGATCACCAATCCAATCTCCAACGCAGATAGGTCTCTTTATTAATCAGGGTAAATTCTATTGTAATTAAAGTGTGAAATATTCATAGGATGAAAGTATTGAAACAAAGATGAAAGCAACACAAAATAAATTCATCATAGAATACAGAAACACTTGTTGTTTATTAATGTTTTACTTAAAATAGAGAAGTGCGATATCGTTTTTTTTATGAGATAGTTAGTTCATACATAAATAAGGTGAAACGTTTGAACTGAGAAATATTTCTTGTCGTTGTCAACGAATTTTAAGGTCATCAGATTATAGGATCATTCCTTTGTACATAATACCAATAAACATAAACATTCAAATAAATATGCTTTTTGTAAACACACACACACACACACGCACACAAAATGTAATTTAATCTATGAATTCAATATCTATAGATAAGAGTTGTATGCAAAACAGTTACAACCTGCATTGAAATACACTTACACTATTCTTATATAGTCTTCTTTTTTATACTCATCTACATGAATAATCTACTTGATGTTACTTTTTCTTGACCCATAGAGGTCAAGAAAATAGTCACATGGTAGTATTATACAGTTTAATATTCATCTATACAGATGTATTATGATTAATAATATATTTATTCATAAATCAAAATGTCAAAGGTAGAGATAGAGAAACAGAGAAAGAAGTTAACAAGAATATTCATATTAATAATAATCCAAACAAAACAGAAAATCAAAATACACAGAGGAACACTGGTAACATCACATTTTATGCAATAATTTCGTACACAGATCGAATGAGCTAAAACGACACAAGACCACGAATACAGCTCTTTATTGACATGTCGGTGAAAGCAAACAAATTTTCTTGCTTAGTTTATTTGGGCCTATGAGATTGAACTGTAAAACAGGAAAGCAGTTGTATTGATCTAGTCTGAGTACTGATTAGCTCGTCTAGTCTGTCTATCTAATAACAATGGCATGATAAATATGAGATAACAGTCGAGAATAATATCAAACGACCATGAGTTCAAAATTCAGTTCCCCACTCTCATTCAATGTGGGTACAGTCACGCCGTAAGAGGAAGAGGACTAAGTGATGGATTTCGAGAGGTAAAACACAAAAATTTCTGTATCTAACAAAAGCTTACAAGTAGGGGAATACAAAGATACAATAGTTTGTTTTTAACAATTGTACAATAAAAAAATATAAACAATAACCTCAGACAGGATTGTTCCGTACATTCATCACTGCTTAATATTTATCTCGACATAGTAATGTAGGGTAACTGAAAGAATATTATCAACGAGTTTATTTCTCCTTCAGTGTGAAATACTCCTTTAGGAATGATCTACATACTTATTTATCTACTAAAGGGTCGGTATACTACGTAGTCCACTCTACTTTACTTTAGGCCCATGAAACGCAACCTCTGAATGTATAGGAGACTAATGAATTACTAGGGTTTGCTAACACCTTTGAAATATTTCTCCTGTACAGTGGAACAATCCTGCTTCGGTTTGGGCACCCGGGCAGTATCACAGCCCTCATACATATCAAATGAGATCTGTGTGGCGCATATGTATTTGGTGCCTCCTTGTACCAATATATGTTAAAATAAATAAATACAGTGAAACCATTGGAATAGTAAATTGAGATGTAATGTTGGTTGATAACACCACGAGTCACCATCAATTGAAGTGGTTGGGACATGTGTTACGTATTCACAACCACCACCTACTTTGACGCGAAACGATAACTTCTAAGGCAGATTGTCAAAAGTAAAAGGCAGTTAAGTGAAGATGCGATGTTAATAAATGAAGTCATCAATTGTTAATTTCGATAGTGTTGACAGATGTAGACTACGTGATAGAGGTTTCCACACGATAACTCTGATCAATCGTTGGAGACTTTACGTAAAACGGCTCGAAATCGGTCACGGTGGTTCATTCATTCGTCACCACACAAATCTTGAGTCTAGACACTGAAACTACTGGATCCCACCCAATGCCATAGTCTAACGGTTAAGAGTTCACACGAGAAACTGAAAATCCTGGGTTCGATTGCCTATGATGGGGTTGTGGGCATGCACTGGTGAGTCCTGAAGTAGGACGAAACAGCTGTCCAGTGCTTCCATGTTTTTAATGGCGGTTTAGCTAAGACCAGCTTATGATTTGGAAACTGCGAAAATCCTACAGTCTCTACAAATCCCCCTATACTAATAGTAATCATCTGTTTATTAGTGGCTGGCTTTAAAATGCAATCCCCGAAGTTCTAGTGAGAAGCTGTGACCAGTGGAGTTCAAACACATTTTTGCTTAGTCTTTCAGACTATACCTAACGACATTATTTTGTTCCACCCTTTTGCCATCATCTTATCCATTTCCTATCATTATATCAGAGTGGTCTGGCAGCCTAGGCCAACATACATTTACAGCAAATTAAACATTGATTATGAATGACTGACTAAATATAAATGAGGTGTATAAACAAGTATGCATATTATGAAAATAATGAAAAAAAGCATGGAATGAGTAACTCATACTCATTAAAAATAAGAAGAAAAAGAAAAAGAAGAGACACATACTTTCCCACTGTATATTTCGAAAAATGTTGCAACAATTCGAAGATTCTCATTCCTATACGTAGTTGTATTCAAATCGAAGACATCAGCAGCTGAACAAAAATACAATATGATAATCATTAAGAACTCTTATCCATGTAAATAATTACAACGAAGATTTGTGGTTCATCATTGTGGTTGCATACATCGTGCATGGATTGGTTGTATACATTCAAGATACAATTCATTTAGACAACCAGTGGTTCTGTTTTTATGTACATGTTTGATTGAGAAATGAAGTCTGAATTTGCGAACTATTATCCACTCAGTAGCTTAAATGATTATTGATTAAACCGTTTCTGTATTTGATTAATTAGCTGTTGCGTTACAATACTAAAGCAATAACTGTTAGAAGAATCCCAATAATATAATCAAAACAATCTTGAAGATTTGATGTACAATTAATTTAGTAAGCCCAAAATTGTAAGAATATCAAAGAGGATGTGTGATAAATGCGTGTGGACACTATGATAGCATTATTAAACTTCTTTTACTATTTATCTACTGTGCAATTATAGAAATGAAGAACTCATCAAGGTGTACCTGTAAGATTGAGGAGACTGGTGCTCCCTGGTAGATATGGTCTCATGTCACCAATCTTCATAGTCATGAACATAACCACTGAATTATTTGAGCAGCAACTGACAACCTGTAGGACTGAGGTATATTTACAACTGGTTAATCACTGATTATTTACCAATGTCAAGTCGTTCTTATAGTAGATTGGATTTAATCGAACAAGTCGTTATGCGGCTACCAGTCTAAGTGACTGGACATCATGTCTACTAGGTTGCCAATTAGCACGAAACCTAGGTCAAACAGGGTTTCCTGTCAACAGCTTCCATTTACCACCTTGAATATCAATATAGTATACGAGATGTCACTTGTACTAATGACCATATTGCAATTTAATTGATAGAATTCAATCAAGAACAAAAGAAAGAATTAATGTGCATGACATTGGTTATCACTCAGTGGTCGATTAATTGTAGATGGAAGTGAAGGTTCTGTTTTAAATTTATTTTACCTATGTAATTATGGATGTTAACCGCAAGTTCTCACGTAATTATCGTGAAACCAATTACCAAAAAATCCATATAGAAGGATCACCCTTATCTGGGATTTTTTGAGAAATGAAAAGTAAAATGAAAAGAAACTCAAGTATCAAATGCATGGAACCATTTATTATGCCTTTTAGAAAATCTACTTCCATAATTACTATGATGGGCTTAGCAGAGTACTCCAGAAACCCACTGAGTCCCTTCACAGTAACGAAATCCTCGCCAATTTTTTTTAAAATGATAAACCAATGTGCCATTAAGTGAAATAAACACAGTCCAACTATTGGCTAAGGTGATTATCATTGAAACTGATAAAACTCTACAGAAAAATATATTCACTAAGTATAATTAAGATGATTATCTATGTGAATAGTCAAAAGTTTACCTGCTAAGGCGTAAATTCCATTAGAACAATTTTGTTGACCACGAGCATGAAATTCACCACCCATTGTATGTGTTTTCCCAGATCCTGTTTGACCATAAGCAAAGCATGTGGCCATGCCACGCTGAAATATACATTCTACTAAAGGTTTCGCAGTATACCGATACACCTATATGATATGTAAGCAAATAGAAATAGTTATTAACTCTAGTTAAAAAAATCTCATTTTCTTCTTTTTATTAGATAAATCTTATTTTATGCATATCAGGTCAATTGAACAGGTTTTGTGTTATTTACAAATTAAACATGTGAATAAACTAACAAAATAAAAATTTATCTAACCATGCAAAAATTCTGTTAGATCAATGATTCAAACAAATAATATGATCTGTTGACTTTCAATTACATTTATCCAAAGAAACCAATGCCAGGGAAGTCCTACTCACTGCCTCATCGCCACTGGGGTATTGTTTACGAAATTGAGAGGACGAAAATCGAATGTCAGGCGGTTTAATCAGGTTGGTGGATGTGGAAGATCCACCTAGGAGAGTTGGAAAGCCGTCGTTCCAAACCAACGGTGCACATAGGCTCCAGCATCCTGAAGGAACAAATGGCGTATGAACCAATCGTTGGTCACCGGCTAACATGGAACCGTATCTCCTTACGTTGTTCAACTACCTTGTGGATTAGACCTTCAAGTCGAAGGCTCCGGGATTAGCCCAATATGAAAACCACCAGCTTCGGACTGGGCACAAGGGCAGTATCCCAGCCTTCACATAAATCGAATGACTTATGTGGCGCATATCTATTTGGTGCCTCCTTGTACCAATGTTCATGTGTTTAAATAAATAATAAAACAACTCAAAGAAAGTGATTATGCTAAACAATTTTACAAATATTCATTCGCAATTAACCAATGAGTACATGAACGTAGACGTAAAGGCAAGGATTGCCGAAGCAACAACAGTATTCCTATAGTTGAAGAACATATGGAACTCAAAACAACTGTCAACCAATATCAGTCACAATCTTCAATACGAACATCAGAACAGCCATACTGTACGGAGCTGATACGTGGAGGACCACTACAGCCATCATCAAGAAGGTACAAGTATCTATAAATAGTTGTCTATGTACGATACTCAATATCCGTTGACCGGATACCATCAGCAATAGCCTACTGTGGGAGAGAACAAACCAGCTTCCAGTTGAAGAGGAAAGTAGGAAAAGACATGGAAATGGATAAGACACACATTGTGGAAATCATCAAACTGCATCACGAGGCAAGTGCTAACTTGGAATCCTAAAGGGAAACGGAAAAGTGGGAGACCAAAGAACACACTACGTCGGGAATCGGAAGCAGACATGGAAAATATGAATAGCAGCTGGAAGCAAGTGGAAAGGATTGACCAGGACAGAATTGGATGGAAAGTGACGGTAGGCGGTTTATTCTCCTCCACGGGGGTAACAGGTGTAAGTAAATAAATGTATTATGTGAATTTGAAAGGGGTTAGTAGCTTACTCTATTTTAAGCATCAAAGATGACAGCATACAAGAAAATAAAAAGGTCTTTTTTACTAACGAATCAACTGTTAAAAACATACGTAATGTAACAACAAGAAGAAAAATTATTCACAGTTAAAATGTCATTAGAAATGTTTTCCTACGTGTTTGAGACTCCTATGTGAAGTGAAGCGTTTTGTGTAGCATTTTTGGCGAAATAAATAGAGTCAGCGTCCACTTACACTATTTTGATAAGTTGACAACTACCTTTGAATTTCAGTTTCTTCTTTTTATCGATGCGAAAGCATAAGGGTTTACATAAGTGATTAAAAAGTAGTTGTAGGCAATCTAGTACACATTTGTGCTATCAGTAAATGGTAGCTGATGATGGCCAGAAACATGCGTGGTTTTTACAAAGCTGCAGAAAGCAGTTCCCACTAACCAATCGAACGACTCTTCTTTGTCCCTAGACACCTGAACCATCTATTGAAATCTCCAACTAATACAGTATCTGTCGAACGCGCTTTGATGATATTTGGTTATAGATGGGATCCATTATTCAGTTCATTTAAGCTGCAATCTGTCGACGTGTAGACGAAAATTGTAAAAAGATATAATCTCCTACATGTTTAATTGATAGAATACGCCTACCACTAAGGATGAGACGAATATGACAGTGATTACTATTATCCAATGATTAGTCAATTTAAAAAATCATTCGTAAAGATTTTTGTTTTGTTGTATTCACAAGTACAGAGGTTTTCTAATCAACTCCAAGATGATTATTAATAATACCAGTTGAAAATACTAAGAATACAGAACTTACAAGTTCATTATCCGATGTATCATCAAATGCATAATCAAAACGGAATTGTTGATTTTCAAGATATTTCGTTAGATCAACTTTAGTTTTTGGTTCATGGACAAGTACATGTTGTTTATTCGGGACTGTGATCACATCAATTTCACGACGGCCAAGTTCTATTAAAATTATAAATGAAAAAAATTGAAATATTTTTTACAATCAACAATACAATCAGTTTAAAAATAATAGTATTGTGTCTGGTACACAGAACTCTCGACATATTGACAGCTTAACTAATTCTAAGACTTCTATACTTTTCGATACTTGAACTCTGAGTACACTGTAGGTGGAAAATATGAATATGTAATATACAACATATAATTGACAATATCTATGAAGTAAACAATGGCTGTGCTTCAGAACGTATCTTCGGTTGTATAAAATGAATATGGAGGCTCAAAATATTAACAAACATTGATTCATAAAGACAGACATACGTGTGGTCACATTTTATACCTTAACAATCCCTCGCAATACTCATCATGTTAAATATGAATCCAAATGACTGATGATCGAACGATAATTCATGTGTTTTTAAAGACAAAACAGTAAAACTTACCTTTTTTGTTCATAGGACGTTTACGTACACAAACACATATTTGATGATCTTCTATTAAATCTGTATTGGTTAAGGGTCTGTATTCCAATGTATTTCGATATTCACTAAAAATAATTAAAAAAACTTTTTGAGCTTAGTTATCTGCTTGACATCAAATTAACCATACTTTTCAATGTTCAATAAAAGTAAAATATTCAGCATTATCAAGTACTTTTCTGTTCATTTAGTGGGTGAACATAATTTTTATTGGGGATTTTATTTCAATGATCTAAAGCTGTGAACACATGTATTCTATGAACACACCATTGTAGAGTATCTCAACTTGCCAGATGAAAAAAGCAAGTAAAGTGGAAGTTAGACCTGGAAATGAAATCATCAATGAAAACTATGCTCTTATACTCAATATCTACCAAATAAATGAACTGAAAATGCTAGACACCTCATATGTAATAAACATTAGAAAATGGATGAGTTACAAATTTGAGGACACATATATTATTACAATATTAAACGATGCAGAAAGTGAAATTGATATGAAGAATAGTACAACTAACGAAAATACAAGTGAACGTAGAAGATAAATAGATAGAGGGGCAAAAGGATATACGGATGAATGGTGGTGAATTAACAGCTAATCATTGTCAAATAGCTTTTCAGGATGTCAGAATTTGATCTCAAAAAGTTTAAAAATTACAGTCAAACTAATAAGCAGTACTTTTTGCTTTCAGTACTTCAATTAACTGAGAACTCATAATGAAACAATTTCGATATGTGATATTATGATTATATGAAAGCAAAACGATGACATCGACGGCCATTAGTAGGAAAAACACAAATACAACACAACACTTACTGAATCATCATATGAAACTCATAACTAGGATTGGTTGGGTCTAAATCAATTTGATCACGAACTGCTTTCTGGGCAGCACGTCGTTCTTCACGTCGCTGTTGTATTCGCTCGATTTCTTTCACACAATTAGACTTGCGTAAAGTCCCACTACCACCGGCGGCACCAGCGTTAATACCAGGAGCAGTAGTAGGTGAACTTGTATTCAGTGCAGACAATGTACTATTTACAATAGGTGCGCCTAAATTAGAATTTGCGCGACCTAAGTTGAAAGTAACAACCAAAAAAACTTAAACAACTCTACACTGAGAGCATATTGACGTCAAAATGTTTTAATATGGAAAAGTAAACACATATGTACAATATAGCTCCTAAAGATCAAATAGCATGCATAACGAATTCATATACACAAGCATAATATGAAAATTACAAGATGTGATGTGTACCGGCGCTAAACACTTGTTACTGGAACTTTAACAACCAAAATCAGATGGAGATTTTATTAGAAAGCTTGTTTCAAAAATTCAATCAAACTCGGTCACTGACCAATGTTATAAAATATTGATTCCTTGTCTATCAAAACCTTCAATTGTCGGTGAAATAACATAGCAAACTGGGTTCATTTAAGTCCCACTAAAAGTTCTTGTTTTAATAAATTTTATTAACTAATCGCGTTTTTCTTACTTATTTGAAAACATTTTGACTGAGATGATTTTGAAATTTCTTCTTACTTATTATTACGTTACATTTCAATCGCTAACTTCCCATCCCCTCTGGTAGTAAGCAATACATCAACACCTTGTATTTTACCTTTACAACTAGATTGGCAGTAACAAAATGTACATCATAATCTTAGCGTCATAGTGTTCGTTAGGTGCTGGTTTTCTATAATAACCGATATGACAACTAATTTAAGCACAATATAGAAATAACTGAGATAACCGAATTGATTTTCTTTACGAGATTAATGCTTAAATCTCAATTGGATTAATTTTAGAAAAAGAACCCCTTAAGTTAACTGACTAACTCCGCGCGGAGCCCCTCTGAGGTTACTGCCGACCCCAAGCCCGGAAAAAGGAGGGTTGGCGACCCCATCCCGTAGAAAACTAACTAGCTAAAAAACGCTAACCGGAAAAAATAAATCAAGTTAACTGACTGGACATATAACATTGAGAAATTAGAACTCTCATTAATATACCAAGTATTATGCCATAATAGAGTGACTACGAGCTATTTATAAAGTAAAAAATGACCAATCGAAAATGGGATTGAAAACAACCAAAGTGATTAATGACTCCATTTCGTCCAGTAATTCTTACTGAGTATACAACTTGCACTGTGCATCAACGGTCATCAAAACTTAATCATGCCAATGTTTGTAAATGTGAAAAAAAAGAAGTTATAATCTGACATGTTCTTTTTATTTCAATGTTTCGTACCTATCAGACGGCGAGAAGCATCACCTGCAAAGCCACGGTTCCCATTGATTATTCCTGATTGAAGGTTATCTTCAATTACATCACCGATATCCTGTTCCATCCGTTCAGTGAGTAAAGTATTATTTTCAGGTTCCCGTAACATACTGGTCACATGATTATAATCATTGTGGTCCAGTTGAACAGATTCTGATGGTTCCAGATCTTCATCCATTGGCTCATCAGAAATTGCACGATGTTGATGTACATTATAACGGAATCCTAATTATATGAATGTAAAACATAGGCGTAATATAAACAGATATAAAGGTCTGAACAAAATGAAATGTCATGTATGGATACCTGCATAGGTTGTCATACTTCATAGATTATGAGGAAAAATTACTCGAGTTTTTTTTAAATGGATACACTTGCTCTAGTGCAACTAGTTTTTACAGATGGTGATTACTTTGTGAACCTCAACCTTTTTCTAGCACACCCTAAAGCGAGCACGTCAGAGTAGTTGGCGGGTAGATACGTATGGCACATGTCCCAATGATCCCGGTCGATCAAGATTTACAACTTCACTAACCGACTAAACGTCACTAACTAGTACTCCACATTTAACCTTAGCATTAGTTACTCGGGGATTTCACCTGGCGCTAGGAATGCTCCTAAAATACTAACCAATCTACTTTAAAAATTCATATTTTCCAACCGTAAAGTAAAAAATGAGTTGAAACTTATATGTTTTACATACTAATTAATAATCAGATACACAACTCACTTGTGTCATAAGTTAGCAGAAGCCAATTGAGTTTTTATTACCAGTCTCGTGATGTCATTAGTTACTAATTCGCAATCAACTAGCACTTTATATTTTACTTAAATAAAAATGTTTGTCTGTTATTTAACCTGCACACATTTATGAAACAATCTCAGCATAAACCATATCGACTTTATACATACTAAATAAATCTATATTTCGCAGTGATAATGTGAAATAATAATGAGAGTATGACTAATAGCATTGTGTAATAAATGTTTCATCTGTAGGTGTATAATATGTAGGCAACACAAATGGTAAAGATTTTTAAGAATGATAAAAAAGAACAATATCTTCACAGGAATGATATACAATGGTAAAGAATGAAACATTACGATGTCAATGAGATAGTATTTACATTTACTAATCATGTATGTCTAGTATTGATTGGATCACGTATATTTAAGCATGAAAAATAGGAAAGACTTATAGTGTAGATTTGTGTCGAATAAAATCTTGAATTCATGAGTCAAGTGAAACTAGACCACCATCAAAAACCTGGAAGACGGTCGTTTCATCTTAGTATATGACTCAGCAGTGCGCATCCACGATCCCGACCCGCGAGATTCCAACCCAGGACCTATCAGTTTCGCGCGTGAACGCTTGACCTTTAGATCACTGAGCCGCTACCCAGCGGTGTTAATGTCTAACTTCAATTATAAATTTCCGAGATCACAATTTCGTGAAACATGTTATGGTTATACTTTACAACAGTAAATCTATGTTTATTTAGATGTGAGGTTGTAGGTTTAAACGTCTTTACTTCTAAATCAATTTGAGTAACAGTTTATAATTGAAAGATGAGTACATAGGTTTGTACTTGGTTAATGAGTTGCATCAATCAGTCAACTAATTACTTAACTAGATTCTTCACAACGAGATATCTAGCTTTCTACTAATAAATACAATGATATTTTAAGTTTAGGAACCATTTCCCTAATTCTAAACTTTGTTGAAGTGAATTTAATGTGTGCATGCATCAATAACAAATAACCACTTTTAATTTCAAGTTACTCATTACAAAAGGAACCTAATTGTATGTTGCCAGTGTGAATTAAACGGATTTACTTTTTTCCAACCAATCACAAAGTACTTCAAATTCCTAGATAACACAGTAACCGACACTTCAGACAGTAGTGACAGACAGAAGCAGTAGCAATAAAAAAACACAAACCTGATTTGTGTCCCGAAAGAGACAGTAATCAACTTATTCCTACCTTGGTAAATCTTTTTTTGTTGTCGTTGTTATTATTATGATTACTGGTGTTTATTTTGTTATGACATCTTCGCTAAACTAATTCTTATTCTACATAAACTAAGATCATCCCTTCATCCATCCGTTTTCTCATTCACTTGATTCTCTAAACTTATGTAAGCTATTCGAATGCTCTTCAATCATTACGCAACCCATTCGGTCAATTTCTGATTCCAGACAATTACTAATTCATAACAAGGTGCCTTCTATGTCTATTTTTACGTGATTTGAGTCTGAAGTAAACTCTTTGCAAATTCGATAAATATCACAGAATTTAACTGTTTCTAGATTTCATTTAATCGGTGCAAAATGTAACTAGAGAATCTTAGGCGCGCTTAACATGCCAGATTCTAAAGAATTACAGTTTATACACACATCTTCAAAATTTAATAGATAGATATCGTCATTTTATGGCTTTTAAGTGTTTGAACCGATGATTTTAGTTAAGCCTTTCAGTCGTACAAAAGTATAAGTGATTGCTAGGCTCCTACACAAAACTAAATTAATATAAACTTGTTATCACATAGTGAAATAAAACTGATATTAGATAAACTACTCTGTAAGGTTTTAGTTCTTTCATACATGGAATTACCCAACAAACGAACTTTAAATTATTTCCGAAATCATGCTTATAAGGGGAAAAACAAACCTTCATTGTGAGTGTGACTAATATCCACAGAATTATGTACCGGGAGAGGAGCTTGAGATCGAGAAGAGTTATTTGTACGGTCATCATAGGCAGATATTGTTGTAGAGCGAGTGGGAACATGGCCAATAGGCACACGAGAAGACGGGACAGGAACGCGTGTTGATGGGGCAATCAAACGAGATTGATTACTAGATGAGTATTCTATTTGAGTGGCGTTAACTTTGTTACTAGATGGAGCGAGAACAGAAGCAGCAGCCGCCACAGGAACAGAATTTTGAGACTGCCGTATATCAGTAGGAAGATTGACTCCGGGACGGTGTGAGGAATTCGGAACTTCTTTAACTAAATTGTTTCGACTGATATCAGCATTCCCATAAACATTATCTACGATGGGCTAAAAATTTAATTTGCAGTTGATATGGAGAAAATTATATCATTTGACTACCAATTCCAAATTCGTAAAAGCATATATTTATACTGAAATTGTAAAAACCAATACACCTGTAATTAAATTATTTGTTTAGCATAACTGCTAGTTAATGTATGGTCCCTCCTAATCCCACTATGAAGCAACTATTATTGACTTCTCATTTTAAAGAAAACGAGGCTACACGTTATGCAGCAGCTCGGCTACAGAATTGACAAGAACGAACCCAACATAAAACAGCTTACAACCGTATTTACATTTTACCTTCAATAACTCTGACCAAACAATTAAGAAGATGGGAGAAATCAGGAGTAACTGCGTGACAGCAAAAAAAAGAGTGAATTTGTGAAGGTGATCTTGTGAATCGACCATCTATACTCTTGAAGAAACGAACTATAATCAACATTACTTCCTATGCGTAAGATAGGATCAACCACCAACGGGTTACAATAACTTAAGTGAACTTATGGGTTTCATTACGAAAATGATAATCATAAAGAAGTACGTAGATGTTTATTTTTTAGGGGCTTACAAACATCATTCAACAATATTTCTTTCATTAAGATAGACACTATAAGAATTTGTAACCGAGAAAAATCTGCGCTATTAGATCTTAGTTCAGTGTCTGACACCTGGTTTCAATAACATCGTTAAATGAAACTTGCTCACAGTGATACATATGTTGTTGCTATTACATCCCATCCAGACGCCGGTACTCACCAAAAATGAAAATCTACAGGTTGATATCTGGCAGTCGCTGAAAACGGACGAATCCGGTTAATGCAAGTAAGTACTACCGAAGTGCCTGAAGATTTTGACTAAGTAAATACTATGTCATTGACTTTTAATGTTAAGAGAAAAGGTGTACTCAGTGCAAAACCTTAGATAAAAATGACCTACACATGAATATCTTAAATTCGGGTTCAATTGAAGTATTGCTTCCAATTCTATCTGAACAAAAAAAAAAATAAAACCAAGAAATTGGATGACTATAAAAATCATTCACACAATCAATTTTACTAACAATAATAAAATGAAGGACTGAGAAAGCAATCACTAGTGTTGTTTTTTACTTCTACATAGTGCAAACAACATAATTATATATGCCTAAACGGCTACACAGGATTCCATCATCCTTTTCAGTATGATCGTTTTTCATGCCCGATCTTTGGGTGATTTTATACACTACAAAACTAAATTAGCTCGTTATTGGCATTAGCAAAGCAGACTGTAGATATCTTAAGAGCAATATCAACGTTATCTTACTAACAATCGATAAGTGACATTTAGATCCCCGTGTTTGCGAATCAGCATATATACGAGTGATCATTTGTTAATGAATCTAAATAGATTAGTAAACAGATAGCTAAACTCTTAGATTACTACTCTCATTAGGAAACCTTTTGAACTTGCCCTGATCTGCATTACTTAAATTGAAATCATTCTCAAACTAACTGATTATAAGGATTACGATTAGTAAGACCTAGAACTATGTCCAAGTCCATAAATCTTAAAAGACTATCAGTGGGCTTAGAATTTAAGCAGAGATCTTAGAATTGCAAAATCGTCAGTGACATAAAATGTACATATAATCACGACTAGTGGCTGGAGATTGAATGGGATGATATGAAATGCCTCACAATGGTCCAGTTCCATTCACTCGTTATCTTGATCTCTCCTTAAATTCAAGTATTCTTTCATACATACCTTTACATCATCTTTTCGAATTATATTCTCACTGCTTATTCGTTCTCATTTTCGCTGCTACTAAATTATTTTGACTTCTTGCTATTCGTTCTGTTCACTTCCTTGAGTAGTGCTAACATGGTACAGTCACTTAAGGCAACACGCACCTGTACCAGGCCATGCTGATGTCTACGTTAACAATGACTCACTGACTAACCAGTAATATTCGTCATTGATTATTTACTTAGAAATACAGCTATTTTCAGTTAATCAATTCTAGTTGTGACAAAAGTTTGTTGCATAACTGTCCGTTTAAGAACAAACAGAGTTAACTGCAATGTTAAAACAGAGCACCAAATCAGTTAATACCGTACTAACCTCCTTTCCTTTAGCTTCTCCTTTTTCATACCATTCTACTGTCACACTTTTTGTGTTGGGATTAATACCACTCACAATAGCCGAATGTACACGACCTAGGCACAAAAGTCATGAAAACAATACCTGTAAAGAACTTTACGCATGAGGTGTTTAGACCAAAGAATATACATAACTCGTGAAAATTATGTACAATGAAAAAAAATAACAACACATGATAATCCATTAGTCAACTTATTTTTTAGATGATAAACTGGATCAAATCCCAAATTTAACCTCATTACGAATAGCTAGCCGGGTTGACTACGACACACGTCATGATGCACCTCAACTACCAAACTTTTTGAAGGAATAATACTTAATTGATGGTTATTCACCGAGTTAGTCCATAAAATTAGTATGATGTACATTACCTGCATTTATCATATGTACGTAGAAAACCCTCGTCTCACCACTACTCGCTTTCAGTAATTAATAAGGCCAAAACAACGAGCCCGATTAAAAACTCATTTAATTTCGTGGTTTCTCCTCAGGTGTTTAAATCTGTGCTTTTATAATAGAATACTAGGTAACAAACACTAGTCACCAGTGTTTTCCTAGGTTTGTTAAAATTTATAAAGATAATTAGATGTATGTTTCAGCTAAGTTAAAATTTGGTGTTGTAGCTTACAGAGTGAACACAAGCCTGCACAATGGATAACTGGCGGCTCTTGAGAGCCAGTGGTATTAAAGACCGAAACCACTTTCTGAGTATTAATAATACTGGGAACATGATGGGTGTTATGTACTCGGTACTTTGTTAGAGGCAACACCCAGTCGTATAATCTGGGTATAATTTAAGCCTGAGACCCGTAAGCTGGAAACATATTGCTCCACCAACATGGAGTGCCAATTTAAAAACTTGGAGTAGGGAATTATTTCCAAGGACCTACGGAAAACACTCCAACGAGAATGTAAAGACTACTGGACAACCGACTTTGTCATCTTGGCAATGCAGCACCTCTACTACTAATAACCCACAAAAACAATGCTTAACATGTCACCAGGAAATTTATTTGAAATCTTCCAACCGACTTAGAATATATATTTTGGAATCAATGAAGCATTACTTCGAAAATTATGAAGCACATTCTATACTCATACAGTTCTAGATTTTTTTAGAGCAAGATATTCAAACATCTTAGACATTCACACATTGTCTTACGAGTTCCGAAGACACTGAACATACAATCCTCTCGTTTCGATAGTCAAAACTGTTTACTATACCCGATATGGACGAAGTATTTATGGGCACAGTTCCTCACACTAGACTTGATGTACTCACCATCTGTTCTCTGTATATCTACATTTATTCCAACAGCTAGAACGCCACCATCATAATCCGCCATATTTCATTGGTGCATAAGACCACAAGAATCAGGAGACCCTCTCAGATCCATTCAAACTCGAGTTAAGTTACGCAAAGTCCAGATCAGTACAACAAGACACGATGCCATGGTGACTACGTAGTAAGTACCAGAAATACACTTTATTGTTGATTTTCTGATAAATGCGTTTGAAAAAGGCTAAATTTATGGTCTTAGTTACAAAATATATCAATGGCGCGACTTTTGAAGCTAGTGGTTGTAACAATGCATGCTTTTATTAGTCTCATGATCTAGTAACCTGGTTGGTTATTTTACTACGTTTTTGAATAAGAATCATGTATCTTTATCTTCAGGCGTGATATTTCTTCAGCACTACGAATAATTTCACTGTAGAGAGCAATCAAAGTTCTTGACTCGATACTCTGTACATACATCTTTAGGGGGCAAAAATCCTGACCGGTAATTGCCATCGTCTGTCCACATAAATTTCAAGGTAAGTTTTTTCCAGGTTATGATGCTAGGCAGGTTCAGCAGTTAAGTGTCGGTGGAAAAGCATCTGAGACTTCTCATGGGATCGTACTTACTTACTTACTTACTTACGCCTGTTACTCCCAATGGAGCATAGGCCGCTGACCAGCATTCTCCAACCCACTCTGTCCTGGGCCTTCTTTTCTAGTTCCATCCAATTCTTGTTCATTTTTCTCATGTCTATCTCCATTTCTCGGAGTAATGTGTTCTTTGGTCTTCCTCTTCTCCTTTGACATTGAGGATTCCATGTGAGGGCTTGTCTTGTGACGCTGTTGGGTGCTTTCCTCAATGTGTGTCCTATCCACTTCCAGCGCTTCTTCCTGATTTCTTCCTCCGCTGGAATCTGGTTTGTTCTCTCTCACAGTTGGTTGTTGCTAATAGTGTCCGGCCAACGGATCTGAAATATTTTGCGTAGACAACTGTTAATAAACACCTGTATTTTCTGGATGATGGCTTTCGTAGTTCTCCAGTTTTCCGCCCCATACAGTAGAACTGTCTTGACATTTGAATTGAAAATCCTGACATTGGTGTTGGTTGACAGTTGCTTTGAGTTCTAGATGTTCCTCAGTTGTAAATATGCTGCTCTTGCTTTGCCGATCCTAGCCTTCACATCTGCATCAGATCCACCCTGTTCATCAATGATGCTGCCCAAATACGTAAAGGTTTTTACATCTTCCAAATCTTCTCCGTCAATTGTGATTGGATTGGTGCATTCTGTGTTGTATCGGAGAATCCTGCTTTTCCCTTTGTGTATATTGAGACCTATTGCTGCTGAGGCTGCTGCTACACTGGTCGTCTTCTCCTGCATCTGTTGTTGCGTTTGGGATAGAAGGGCCAGATCGTCTGCGAAGTCTAGATCATCCAACTGCATCTTAGATGTCCATTGTATCCCGCGCTTCCCTTCAAACGTTGACGTCTTCATGATCCAGTCGATCACCAGGAGAAAGAGAAAGGGTGAGAGTAAGCAACCCTGCCTAACACCGGTCTTCATTTTGAACGACTTTGTCAACTGTCCTCCATGCACAATTTTGCAGTTTAATCCATCATATGAGTTCTGTATGATATTGACTATCTTCTGAGGCACGCCGTAGTGTCGAAGAAGTTTCCATAGTGTTGTTCTGTCCACGCTATCAAATGCCTTTTCGTAGTCAATGAAGTTGATGTAGAGTGATGAATTCCATTCAGTTGATTGTTCCACAATTATCCGTAGAGTTGCGATTTGGTCTGTACACGATCTATCCTTACGGAATCCTGCCTGTTGGTCACGAAGTTGGGCGTCTACGCAGTCTTTCATCTTGTTTAACAATACCCTGTTGAAGACTTTTCCCGGTATTGAGAGAAGAGTGATGCCCCTGTAGTTATCACAGTTGCTGAGATCGCCTTTCTTCGGTATTTTGATCAGAAGTCCTTCTTTCCAGTCTTTTGGTACTTGTTTTTCATCCCAAATCTTATTGAAGAGAATGTGGAGTATCCGTGCCTCTGCTGGAATGTTGTCTGGTCCTGTTGCTTTGCCACTCTTGATTTGTCTGATGGCCATGCTTATCTCTTCAATTGTTGGTGGGCCAACATCGATTGGGAGGTCCGTGGGTGCTGCTTCGATGTTGAGTGGGTTCAGTGGAGTTGGTCGATTCAAGAGTTCTTTGAAGTGTTCTACCCACCTGTTTTGTTGCTCTTCAATGTTGGTGATTACCTCGCCTTCCTTGCTTTTCACTGGTCGTTCTGGTTTACGGTGATTTCCAGAGTGTTTCTTTGTTATGTCATACAGTTCTCTCATGTTTCCTTCCCCTGCAGCCTTTTCCGCTGTCATTGCTAGATCTTCCACATATTTACGTTTGTCAGTTCTGATGCTCCTCTTCACCCGTTTGTTTACTTCTGTGTATTCAGCTTGTGCCTTGTCTTTCTCTGCTCTTGTTCGACTGGTATTGATCGCTGCCTTCTTGTTCCTCCTTTCTTGAATCTTATCCAGTGTATCAACATTGATCCATTCCTTGTGATGGTGCATCTTGTGACCCAGGACCTCATGACATGTTGAAGTGATTTCCTCTTTGATCCCCTTCCAGTTGCTCTCCACAGTAGTTCCTTCTCCATTGAGTAGATCATGAAAGGCCTGCAACTTGTTGCTGAGGACTATCTTGAATTTGTTGAGTTTGTTAGTATCCTGGAGAAAGGCCGTATTGAACTTTTGTGATATTGTCCGCCCCGTTGTCCAGTGCTTTTTGAGTTTCAATTTCATCTTGGCGACCAGCAAGTGATGATCTGATGCTATATCAGATCCTCTGTTCGTTCTCACGTCCTCTATAGTCCTCCTGAACGTTTTGTTGATGCAAATATGGTCGATTTGGTTTTGTGTAGAGTGATCTGGTGAAGTCCATGTAGTTTTGTGTATGCGCTTATGTGGGAATATGGTGCCGCCTATGACCAGCTTATTGAAGACACATAGATTTGCAAATCTCTCACCATTTTCGTTTCTTTCTCCCAGTCCGTGTCGTCCCATGATGTCTTCATATCCAGTGTTGTCCGTTCCAACCTTGGCATTGAAATCTCCCATCAGAATGGTCAGGTCCTTTGTTAGGCACTTCTCGACGATTGACTGCAGCCTATTGTAGAATCGATCTTTAGCGTCTTCATTGTAGTCGTTGGTAGGCGCATAGCATTGGATGATGTTCATTGAAATGCCCTCTTTCTTTGTTTTGAACGAGGCTTTGATGATCCTTGGTCCATGAGATTCCCATCCTATAAGTGCATTTTGCGCTTGTTTGGACAGCATCAATGCAGCTCCTTGTGTATGTGGTGCATTTTCTTCTTCATGGCCGGAGTATAACAGGAGCTCTCCTGTAGTTAGTCGTTGTTGTCCAACTTGTGTCCAATGTGTTTCACTGATCCCGAGTACCTCTAGGTTGTATCTTCTCATTTCTGCAGCAATTTGGAAGGCTCTCCCGGTGTCCCACATTGTACGAACATTCCATGTACCTAAATAAATGGTCGCTCTGGTTGTCAGAAGGGGCATCGGCCTCGTAACTTCCGAAGGAATTCGGCTTTCATCATGAGGCGTCATAACTCTTCTAAATGAAGATCTTCTGACTCCCAGGGCAGAGTTTAAAAGATTTGAATAATTTTTTCTGGTTAGCGTTTTTTTAGCGAGTTAGTTTTCTACGGGATGGGGTCGCTAACCCCATGCCCAACCCTCCTCCTTTATCCGGGCTTGGGACCGGCAGTAGCCCCCGGAGGGACTCCAGGCGGAGTTTCATAGGATCTGGCTGTCTCAATAGGACGAGTTAGTATCGCCAATGTGACTCCCACATAAGAACCCATATATTAGATAGTCACATCGTGGTCGATCTGCAGTTTGAGGATTAGGTCTTTTATTATAGGAGCAAAGACGTAATAATATTGACTTAGACTGCAACACTACAGCACCATCTAAAATAACTGGAATAATTATTCCACGTAGGGAATCTCACCCTCACTGAGGAGGTCGTTGAGCTCAGTAATGCATACAGGTGATCAGGAAAACCGTTATAAATTCGTACATGTGGCTTATCCTTTTCTTGACTTTATGAAACTTGCTGACCTTTTGTGCTACACAAAACACAAGTTGTATTTCGATTACAATGTACTATGTATAAATTTTGTTATTAGATCTTAGTGAGGACCCAACACCTGTTGAAAATATAGGTTCGTTATGCTAAAAAAGAAAAGTGATCCAGATATAAAATGTAGAACATATATATATATATATATATATATACTTATTCAGTGTTTTTTTAGTTCGTTGAATGTCTGTTGATAGGGAGTAACCTATGACACATGCTTAAAAGTATCCTCAAAGTTTTATGTGTCTAACAAATAAAGATTCAGAAATAAGTTATGAGTCTAAATGACCCAAGTCTTCTAGAAGAAAAGAAGTGATGTTATCTCAAGCTGAAGTATTAAGTGTTTGAATGACCGAGTGATCATACTATGAATATATGAATTCATAGAACCAGACAAACATTATTTCTCTTACCTTTCAGTAAGAAAGACAAAGTATCACGGATATCAAATACTCTCATGATCTAGGACTAATGCTAATGTAAATCGAATATGTGAAATTGTTTGTATGTTTCATAAGTTATTATTTAGAAAATTTACATGGAATCTCTAGGGTACAGTGACATTTAACTGATCCTACAAGCGTAATGGTTTGTGTCTGAGTACATGAATATAGTAAGCAATTACATAAAAAGAATCTGGACAGTATACAGTTTCCTAGTTTTCCTAACTGAAAATGTTTTGAATATTGCGTCAACCATATATACACATACGATTTATGTCCTATTTCACTCATGAAATCAAAATATTCATTACTTGATAATATAACACTACTTTATTCAGCAAGCTCTAAAAGCCCTGGCATGGCCGAGGGTAGAGAGAGTTGGCTCGCCATCTTGAAATGCTCTCACATGGCCATGCATATACAGCCACTGACATGGAAGTCTTACTCACTACCAATGTTCAACGTTTTTACCGGTTGGTGGATATGGAGGATTCAATTAGGGGGGATGGAAAACCCTCATT